AGAGAGAGAGAGAGAGAGAGAGAGAGAGAGAGAGAGAGAGAGTGTTACATGCCCCGTTGGGCGATGTACATGCAAACCGAGGATCTGCAATGTGATGAAAAGGACTGAATGGACAATGCAGTGCAAGTAGAATCTCAACAAGCAATGTGCATTCCGATACATACAAAAATGGTGCTGAATAGCGCAGGGAAGTCTTAGATACAATCCTCCTGACCTGACTGGTACTGACCCCTTTCACGTAGTACAAGATAGCGAACCCGAATGCTAGAATACTAATGACTAGCCCAATCAATGTTTCAACGCAGACCAAACATACATCATGCTCATCACAAGGTGTGAAGGAGCCTGGCGCTATACACAGGAAGGAAGCGCCAGGTCCAGTCATACACAGACGAAGAGGAGGGGATCAGACGAAGAAGAGGAGGAGAGATGGGAATGTCGTCAACACCAAGTCTTTGTCACAAGTCCCAAATAATCCCTCGTCGAAACGTCTGAAGCCCAAAAGTCGAGTCTGGATCCAATGTCAACAAGCTCTCTCTCTCTCTCTCCTTCTCTCATAGTCTGCTGATGCAGTGAAGTCAGATAATGAGAGGGTGAGAGGGAGATGGTGGACTGAGAAGAGGAAAAAGAAGAACTCTCTCTCTCGTATGCCAGGTACTAACCTGTGAAGGTGGCGCTGTGCTGCAGGTACCTCGAAGACGAAGCTGGAGCAACGGCGCTGCAGGTAAGTATCCCCGTCCTCCGCCCAATCTCTCTCTCGCTAGTACTACCCTAGCTATGGCGCCCAGCGCTGAAGACTACAGCTATGCTACTAGCGCCCAGCGCTGAAGACTAAGGCTAACGCTACTACTACTACTCCTGCAGCGCTCCTCCAGAGTGCTGCTGCCGAATCCTGAAGACTACTGACTGCCTCCTGCCTACCCGTGACGTGCATGGGAAGTCCCTATGTACTACCTCGGCCTGCCTCCTGACTGCCTCCGACTGCCTGCAGTTGCAGGGCGGGCAGTCCAGGAGGCTGCTCTTGCCAATGCCGAACTGAGCCAGGGGCTGGTGCTGCAGCTATTGTGGGAACAGGCCAAAAATAGCCTGTTCCTAAAACCCTGGTTCGTTGCCTGAGTTTCAGGACAGGTAGGTCTGATGACAGACCGAAAATGGCCCTTCATTTCAGGCTAAAAGGCTACTGCCATTTTTAGTCTGAAACGACACAGGGGCTGTAGGCCCCTGTTTTTCAGGCTTTCGAGCTGAACAGACACGGGGCCTGTAGGCCCTGGTTTTCAGGCTTTCAGCCTGAGGGACGCAGGGCCTGGAAAATGGCCCTCGTGTGCAGGCGCAGCATGTAACACCCCCCCCTCCTTATGAAGTCAAGCCGGGGCGACGGCGAAGCTGACGATCTGAAGGTGGAACCTGGACGCGGGCGCGGCGTGGAGCCGAAGAGACCGGCTTGCCTTGCATCTTGCCTTCGTAGCGTGCGAGAACGTCTGGAGCTGTTGCTTGAAGTTCCGCACGGGTCAACCAACGGTCAGCGCGGTGTGTGCAGTATGCAAAATGTACCGAGTACTCGGTTGGCCTGTTGCCGTAGCGTCGCTGGGAGATGATGTCGCCGACCTCCTGAAAACCGTCCATAGAGGATGGGTCTTGCGAATGTCTCCCGAGAAAATCGTCATGTTCCGCTGGCGTGTAAAGAGCCAACTTGGAGCAATGAAAGACTGGGTAGACGGGCAAGTGGGCGGGCACCTGAATAGTGAAGGAAGGCCCCTCAGGTGCATCCCCAGCGGGTGCCACGATCGGCCAAGGCCCCATCCATTTCGGGAGGAGCTTGCGAGAGATATCTTGTTCAAGGCTGAATTCCGCGGCGGAGACCCAAACGAGATCGCCGGCGCGGCATGGGCAAGGAAAACGCTGGCGATTGGCCTGTTGGCTCATGCGTTGCTGCGTCTTGGCCATCTGGTCGCGTGCCTTGACAAAAAACTCTTGCATGCGACGCAAGAAAAGAAGATGGCCGTCGCTCTCGGCCGTTCGTGGAGTGATGGTGTCCAACGGCGAAGTGACCGGCGAGCCGTGCTTGAACTCGAAGGGCGATATCCCGATAGCCAGGTGGATGGAGGAGTTGTAGGCCAACTCGACATCCGGCAGCCGCTCAACCCAATCCTTCTGGTCAGGACGAATGAGAGTGCGAAGGAGAACCTGTGCAGTCTGGTGCGCCCTCTCCGTTTGGCCATCGATCTGGGGGTGGCGAGCTGAACTGGGCTTGAGAGATGAGCCCCATCGTTTGATGAGCGCCAACCAAAAATCGGACATGAACTGAGTGTCGCGGTCGCAGACGATTTCCTTGGGGTAACCCTTGTCCAACCGGCATAGAGAACCACGGCCAACTCCCGTGCCTTGGCATGATAGCGACAAGGCAAAAACATGGCAAACTTGGTGAGTCAGTCGACCACCGTGAGAATCCCATCCACGCCGGTCTTGTGCTTCGGGAACGGGCCCGTGATGTCCATGGCAATCGCTTCCCTTCGTCCCAAAGGGACCGGTAATGGTCGTAACTCGCCGTGCGGACGATGGTTGCGGGATTTGCAGCGTCGGCAAACCTCGCATGACTCGCAATAGCGTGTGACGTCGCCGAGAAGGTCGGGCCACCAAAATCGCTCGTGAAGTCGACCAATCGTGCGATTGACTTCAAAGTGTCCGGTGTCGGGAGCATCGTGGGACTTCCCAAGAAGCCGTGTGCGCAAGTGAGGATCACTCGGTACGCAAAGAAGGTCCTTCCCCCGTGTGTGGACAAGCAAGTACCCCTCTTGGATCCGGTAGTGAGAAGGCGCCGGATTAGGAGAGGAGCAGTTTGCGTACTTGTTGCAAAACTCGGGTCGACTTGGTAGCCGCGGATGAAGCTGTTCCGCAGGTCGTCGTCGATCTCGAAGGTTGAGTAGACCGCGGTACAATGATTCGGACGCCATGAAAGAGCATCCGCAAAACGGTTCGACTTCCCCCAGAATGTGATCAGGAAAGAAGTCAATTGGTCAATGAAAGTCATCCATTGAGCAATGGTGCTGTTGACGGTGTCTTAGGTCTTGTAAAAGACCAACGGATTGTTGTCGGTTACCCATCGGAATTGGCTTCGACCCAGGAGGAAGTGCCGCCACCGCTTGAGCATGTGGACGAAGGCGAGAAGCTCCTTCTTACGTGCATCGTCAACCGAGTGCACGACCGACACTTTCTTGCTGAAATACTCGACCGGGTGCTAGTCCACGCCATCGTGTTGCTCGAGGACGACACCAATGCCATAGCCGGACGCATCCGTAGTGACGCACGTAGGCAAAAGCGGGTCGTATATGTGCAAGATCTCCGCAGATAATAGTGCGGCTTTGAAATCCAAAAATGATTCCCGCGCATCCTCTCCGAAGTCGAACGGCCGATCCTCGCATTGAAGCTTGGTCAAGCGGGCCGCGATCTTCGAAAAGCCCTTGATGAAACGCTGGTAGTAGCCGGCAAGGCCAAGGAACGAGCGGACATCCATGACGTTTCGTGGCTCCGGACACTCTTGGATGGCCTGAATCTTGTCCGATAGCGAACTGATGCCCTCCGGTGTGACAAAATGGCCCAAGTATTCCAGCTCTTGCCGGACAAATTCGCACTTGTCGCGGTTGGCCTTGTACTTGGAGCGGCGGAGCGTCTCCAACACTCGTCGAAGATGCCCCAGATGATCCTCCAATGTCCGGCTATAGACGAGAATATCGTCTAAGTAGACCAGCACGAACCGGTCCAACATTGCACGAAACTCGTTGGTCATTGCCGCTTGAAAGGTCGACGGGGCATTGGTGAGGCCAAAAGGCATGGCCACCCACTCAAAATGCCCGTACCGCGTTTTGAACGCGGATTTGTAGCGATCATCCGGTCGGATCGAGATTTGATGATATCCCGACTTCAAATCCAACTTAGAGAAATACTTTGTGCCGCCCAATCGCTCTAGAAGATCATCCATGCGAGGAAGAGGCCCCGCATTCTTGACGGTTTGCGCGTTGAGCTTGCGGTAGTCGATGCATAAACGTAGATCCTTGTTCTTCTTCCGGACGAAGAGAACTGGTGCTCCATATGGGGAGCTACTAGGGCGGATCCAGCCCTTGGCCAACAAATCGTCGAGTTGTGCGCGGAGGACCTCAAGCTTCTCCTCGCTCATCCGATAGATGCAACCTTTCGGCGGCACAGCACCGGCCTCGAGAATGATCTCGTGAGAGATCGGCCGATCCGGCACCACACCGGTAGGTGACTCGAAGTCCAGCGACCACACCACGCGGGGGTCCGAAGACAAGTCCGTGGGTGAAGAGTCGGCTACCGCGACGGTCCGTAGGAAACATAGGTCGATTTCCTTGGGCTGCTCGTAAGCGCAAGTCGCCCAGGATGATTTGGCCGTCACCGCTTGACACCGAATCGAAGGGTGCGGAAGGGGAATAGTACATGCCACTTCGGCGCCGAAGGCGTCGCGAACGCTAAGAGTCCGTCGGTGGAAGTTGACCGTGTGATCCGCACTTGCAAGCCAAGGCATTCCCAGAATAATGTCGAAGTCCGTGTCCAAAATGTCGAACATCACCGGTTCGCATGCATGAGGTGAGAAATACACCGGTACGACCCCGATGTAACGGTCGAGAAGATGCTGTGTCTTTCCATCCGCCAACTTGATCGCCGTCGGGTTTGCCTTCCTCCGAACTTGTGCGCCAAGGCCAGCCCTTTGCATAAAGGCTTGGCTTATGAAATTGCGAGACGCGCCGCTATCCAGCAAAGCGTTGCAAGACGCTTGCCCAACTTGGATGCGGACATACATGAGCGGTGCGTTGTTGTCATCGTACCGCTGCGTGTGAAACTCGCGGGCCACCTTGGTAACATACGCAAGGATGTTCCCCACCACGACTTCGTCATCCGTCGGCGAAGTTGGTGGTGCATAGTAGGATAAGTACGTATGGAGATGAGCGCATAGTGCTGCGCATTGCGGTCCCGGCAGGTGGCCCGTGGTCGGGAGAGGAAGCCATGCAAAGTCCTTGGACGTGAGCGGGTCCAATACCTCTATATTGAACTCGCGCGCCGAATCCCGTGAAGAACCACTTGAAGACGACAAGTCGCCGCTAGTTGTCGCTGCCGGACGGAGAAGATGCCGCACACACGGCTAGTCCTTGAGCTTGAGTACCCAGCGTAGGAACGAGTCGGGCAGCATAGTCCTCAAAAGAATAAAGAAGAGGAGGACTATCGACTTCCGCATGTGCCTTGGAACGAAGGGCGGTCACCCGCGAAGCCACCGGTTTCGAAGGCGTCGAGAGTGTCGTCGAGTCACTCCCGGCAGTGCTCAGTTTCCCGATTTGCCCTTGCCTTTCGACGGGCAGGCCGTTGTCTCATGGAGATCGCTGTTGCACCATAGGCAATAGTGAAATCTCGTGCGTGCTTTGTACGTCGTTTCAGAGAGACCGTATGGGGCTGGAGCTGTTGCGCCGGGCCCGGGGCTAGATGCGGTGTTTGTCTTCGTCTTGCCGCGTCCTCGGCCTTTGCCGGGGCGGCCACCTTCCCGGGCGGCTGCGAGTCTGTCCCCTTCATTGGCAGACACGGCCTCGCTAGTTTGGTCGAACGGTGTTGCCGCCGCGACCACGGTCACTCTTGGCCGATGCTGGTCCCTGCTCGGGCCTGGAGTAGACGAACGCACGTTCTTAGCCTCCTTCACCACCCTTCTCCTAGCCTTCTCCTTCCTCGCCTCCTTTCTCTTCACCTCGACTGTCTTCTTTCTCTTTTTTTTTTTTTTTTTTTTTTTTTCCGTCTCTCCTTTACCTCCTCGGCTATGGCTTCCTTCGCTCCGCTCGGTCTCCTCCTCTGTCCTTTCTTTCACCCTTCTTCGTTTCTCTGTGGTCGAGCTACGTGGCTATGGCCGCCGCCTTCTTCCTCGTGGGACTGCACGGCACACTTCAAAGGTACGTGACAACCAAACTTGTATCGCTCATCTCTCTCTCTCTCTCTCTCTCTCTCTCTCTCTCTCTCTCTCTCTCTCTCTCTCTCTCTCTCTCTCTCTCGCCGTAGCGATGTCTTCAACCCAGGTACGTGGTAAGCCAATCTTGTATCGCTCAACCTTTCTCTCTCCCTCTCTCTCTCTCTTCGTCATGGTCCTCTTTGCAGGTGCGCGCGGCGGCTTTGTCAACCTCCGGGTCCGCTATGGCGGACTTCTCCTCCGACGGCTACTTCGGCTATGGCGCGTAGCTCTTCCCTGCGGCACACGACAACGCGCGTGGAATAGCGGGTACCAGCTCTGATACCAATGCAATCAGACTCGCTATTTTTCACACTTCACGTGTATGCAAACAGGTGCGCAGCAAACTGGTGACAAGCGCCCACTCAAAACTCAGAGATATGGTAGCCGAGAACACAGTTCAGATACAAGTTCACTTCAATGGCTATGGCGACACAGCGCCCACTCAACTCTCTGTTCGCACACACGGGATCACCCTGGATATCCCACACGCGTTACTCTGTACACACATACACACACACACACACACTGCACGCTATCTACAGCTATGGCGGCTATGGCCGCTGCTACCCTATCGCTATGGCTAAGCTTCTTCTCTCTCGCCCACTTCGCACAAGTCGCTGAGGCAGCGCTTCCGCATGGCTCGCGCAGGAATCAATGAATGGCTGGACGCTGCTCTTTGATTTATACTTCTGTAGCTCGTTGGTCTGGCCCTTTCCCTTGCCCGTGGTGCACACAGTCCCATGCGGTACTTGCTTGACTGGACTAGGACTGACTGGGACCGGTACTGCTGACTGCATGGGTTTGCACTGCCGACGTACTGCAGTTGGGCTCACCACTTCAGAAGTCGCGGGTTCAAATCCCGTTTTTCCCGGGAGGTATGGCTGAGTGGCTGAAGGCATTGGTTTGCGCCCACTTGGCCCAGCCAAAACGTGAGCAACTTCGAAAGGCCACTGCTAGGACCTTCCGGAAGTCTGGGTCCTGGCCTTTCGAAGACTGTAGCAGCTACGACCTTGACCCTTCAGGACTGTAGCAGCTACAACCTTGACCTTTCAGAAGTTCTACGGCTACGACTTCTAGAACTCCCTAGGACTTCCACTCGACAGATCTACAGATCGAACCCCTGCTACCTACGGACCCTTGGACAGTCAATCAACTGTTACAAATACACAGGTCACGGGTTCAACTCTCGGGGTGGACACAAATACTGTACACAGGTAAGGTGATGACTAGGGATCGAGCCCTGGGATCTGCACTCGCTACTGCTAACTGGTGAATACCGTTTCAGTGATACCTCCTCTCTTCCTCTCTGGCTCGTTGAGAGGATAGGCAAAAGAGATCTTGTTGTGTTGCGTATCTGCATGTCCATTCCTCAGTGCGTTTTTGATTGGTTTGAAGCGGAGGGGTCGCCATCTTAGCAGGAGAGGGCTCCAGAAAAGTATGTAGAAAAGAAAGAATGTGAACACATACACGGGGAGAGAGAGAGAGAGAGAGAGAGAGAGAGAGAGAGAGAGAGAGAGAGAGAGAGAGAGAGAGAGAGAGAGAGAGAGAGAGAGAGAGAGA